AATGTTCTTTCAGAAAGCTGAAGAGCCATACACAGAAATGATCCGAAAAGCCAGAGTATGGAAGTTTGGCGAGCAAACCCTCATGCAACACATGGTCGAAGGCCTTAGGAATATCAAGCGTGACAGTTCTTGATTCTCCATGTTTCTCGATTGCGTTATTCCAAATATGGGTGTCACACGATTGAAGGTCTCCTGTTGATCTTTGTTTCCGAAAACCATATTGATGGTTTTTGATATCACTGAAAGCAAAGCGACTGGTCTATATGTATTTGATAGTTCTCTTGCCCTTTTTGGGAATAGGCTGAAGATGAGCAATCTTCCAACAACAACGAAAAACCCCTTTTTTGTGAGACAGGTTGAAGAGTCTGCAAAATACTGGTGCGGGTTCATTGGCGCAATTTTAAAGTACGATGACGGGCACTTCATCAGGACCAAACGCCTTGTTGATATTGAGCTGTTTGAGCTGGATGCTGTCGAAAATTGATTTCTGGCTTTGTGGATTCTAGTGTAGAATTAGTAGATGGTGCCTTTCCCAGAAATTCGACTGTGAAGTGGGACGCAAATTGTTCAGCTAGTAGATTTGCTTCTTCTATGGCTCTAGTTGCAATTGAACAGTCCGCTTGTGTTAGTGGTGGAATTGTAGATTTTGTAAAGTTCTGATTAACAGTTCAAGCTACCGACCAGAAGAACCTAGACCCATTGGGAATGGCAAACCATTTATCCTCAATTCTCTGATTGTGGAGATTTTTGCTTCTATATATCCAAGTTTGCAGCTGTTGCGAGCAATAATAAACATGGTTTGGTTTTTGGCACTAGGAGTTTTGCCCCACTCACAATAGGCCAAATTTTTGGAAGCGACAGCTAGCTCGCAATTTGTGTTGAGCCAAGGTTTGCTGTTAGAAGGTCGTTTCATTGAAAAAGGAATATAGGCACCCATGGATGATAGATTAACTTCCGTGACTTCAGAAGCACAAGTTGATGGATCTCTAGAGCTGAAACAAACATCAAGCCAGGGGAAATTTCGGAAATTATTTTGAAGACCCTCCCATTCAATTGATCTGTAATGCCATACATTGAGCGTCTTAGATCGTTCCCGAGCATTTATCGGTAAATCACTCAACACTGAAATGATTTTGTGGTCAGAAGATCTCAATAGAGACCTCACGGTGACTGTTTAAATTTCTGGATTGGTTGTTTGGTATAGATCCAGAAGACTAGCATAATCTCCATTACGTTAGACATCCCATTTGGCTCATTTATAATCTGAGTAAGTACGCTGCTTATTGCAAAATCTTCATTCGTCATATATTTTGTAGCAAAGCTCCATTATACATGAACTGTTGGTCGTATTTGAAAAAGTAATATGCTCACATAACTCATCAACAGAATGTCACGTTGACGAGAATTAAAAAAGTTTATATTGGATTGAAATGTTCAGTAAAACGACAGCTATTTCCAAACTGAACATTTGCATTGAAGTGTTGAACGACTTTGTTAGATGTTTTCCTTGTTTCCCAACTTTCAATTCAATTTATCTTTTATCTNATCCTCAATAGGGCAGAAAAATACTATGAAAATTGGACCGATTTTCCACCAAATACATGGATTCACGCCGGGAAAAGATCAGATGCTACGAAATAATGATATCCCCACCTACGGTCTATACGCATTCCCACCACTGACGTTGCGTCGCAGAATCCTTGGGTCTGTGAAAATTTCCCAGTCCTGATTTTCGTCTAGCGGAACGGCATCGCACGAAAATCCGCGCAAATGACATTTCTCGGCATGACGATCGGATGAATGAGTTGTTTTCTTCTGATGATGAGAAAACTGCTATAATCCTGTAGGAACTTTCTGAACTTCACTAGGAACCACTCTTGTGACTGTGTTTTTTCTCTTTTCTTCTAGAGATCTGGTGTTAGTTTTTTCTATCAATTTTTTATGGTATTGTGAAGACATTGAACTTCATTTTCTGTGGTGTAATAGACAATTGACATCATACATTATCGAGAAACGTTAGGCAAGTTTGATGTTATTAGTAGGCTTTGTTTGCTCGGAAAAATCTCTTCCGGGTTTCGAATCTCGTACGAAATCGATGAGGGTATACAAATGCATATCTCACCAGTTATACAATTGGGAGTTTTTAGAGCTGTGTCATTATCACAATGTATTCATTTATACTGCCTTTTATAAAAGTGAGGTAGATAGATAAATACATTACATAGATGGGGGATACGTCAAATGAAATTTTGATCTCGTACATATAAAAAGTAACTACGAATTGAATAGTATATAAAACAAATATACACACAAATATATGAAGATCTCAGCTTCACATCAATATCAATTAATTCGACAAGGTTACAATCAATTTCAAGTAAAAATTTGTCTAGTGTATAAAAGTATTTAGTTGATAAAATGATTCAATTTTTTTTTCAATTGGTGACAATGGGGACAATGTCTTCATACCGTTTGGCAATTCATTATAACTACTCATTTAAAGAAAAACAGGTGACTTTTCTCATTTTGTATAGAGATATTTTCGAGATATGAGTATATTATTTTTCCTAGTATCAAAATGTTGTGCTTCCATTGATAGGTAAAGATGTCTCAAGTTCTTATGAATGTATGTCAAGATTTTCAAAATGAATGCTTGTCACAGTTGAAATTCCATTCTCTTGAAATATGTCTCTACATGACGTTCTGTAATCAAGGATAAAAATCAATCTCAGCAGTGTCTTGGTTTTATGAATATTCTATCAATTTCAGTAGCTTATCCATCCACTTTACGAAACTTGTATCTTTGTCTTTCAGTTGCTACTAGTTTTTACTTTCAACATTCATTATATCGAATATCATTATCAAGAAATAAATCGTAATAAATTTGAATACGAGGTTGAATACTATATTGATAACCACTAATGATAGCACTGGTCTACAGTGGTTTTGTTGCCCTAGATATAAGATTGATTTTGGGTGTATTTATACTCACAATTCATGAAATCATCAAAGGTTTTGTAAGATTTGCTCTCGTTTTCTTTTAAATATTTACTTTCATTTTACATTACAAAAATTCGAAAACAAGAAACAAAATAACAGATATATTTATAATCTCAGTTTTATTTGGAAAAAAATATGATACTTAGAAGTAAATAGAAAGGGAAATTTCGAAAACATGTTATATTTCCATGAAACGCCTATTAAGAGCTTTACTTTTATATTTTTTCAGAGGACAATCTCTTCTTAAAGACCAGCAGTAATGGGCCATCATGTGACAACCCCATCGACCCTGATATCTTTCTTCCATTACTTTTAGAACCTGGTGGAACCGCTCTCCCTGCTCCTCACTATAATTTCCTAAATCATCTGGAAATTTATCCAAATGGTTGCGAAGATAGTGTAACTTGATACTCATATTTGCTCCTAGAATCTGAAAGTTTGTCAGCATATTTTGTGCAATTTCTTCATAATTTGGTTACTTTATGGTTACCTAGGAAATTTTCGACTACCAACACAAAACTTTCCCAAGCTTTACCTTCCGGAACAGTCATAACTTTAATGAAATCAGTATCTTTCATCAATTGCCGTATTTGAGGACCATCAAATATGCCACCTTCCAACTTTTCCATACTGAGTTTTGGAAATTTTCTATAAATATATTTAAAACAATCTACTTCCTTGTCCAAAGCTTTTACGAATTGCTTTATCATTCCTAACTTAATATGCAATGGTCGAAGTATAATTTTGTCTCTGCTCACCAAAAAACAAGTTTAAAGAGTTCATAACCGACGCAAATGAAGGTTTTGTTTTTCTTTTAGTGCAGATCGTAAACGGGACCCTATCTTCAGAGTTGTTAAACATCCTTGACAAAATTAAAAAAATACACTTCGCGTCTACAGAGTGTATCCTTTCTTCAGATTTAAGTACTCTTTGTTCTATACATAATTAGTTTATTTAACATAAATAGTTCGGCGGAAATCATGAGTTTTGCAGATGATAATGGTGGTACTTATAAAGCAAACACTTGGAATGAACTTCGGTAAAATATTGAGAATAATTTTCCTGAAATAGCTAATTGGCTTCAGTACAATAAACTTACACTCAACTTCAATAAGAGCTGTTATCTATCATTCTGTTCCTATTCATCAGAAATGCCACATTTGGGAGATATTGATGTTGGTCTAGATTCAAAAATTTCTGAAGTCCAATCCATACAATATCTTGGTACCATGATTGATCGGCATTCCAGATGGGACCTTCAAATGAAGCATCTATCGAATAAAATACAAGGAATACTTCCAAAATTCAAATATTTGAAAGCATTTTCAGAACATTAACACCTTAAAACAGTTTATTTCGCATTGACACAATCACAATTAACATTTGGAATTTTGGGATGAGGTGGTGTGAAATACTATTTAATAGACAAGATCAACGTATTACAGAAATGGATTTTGTAAATNATATTAATGGTGGAAATAAATTCATTACCTATTGATTTAAATGACGGCAGTGATCGTGAAACAGGAAATATGGAAGAGGAATTTTCAGAAGATTTCGAAGAAAGTTAGTGATGTGTTTTTGAAGCGATCAATATATGTGAGTAAGTAGTATTCAGAAGTATTTTCAATTATCATCCCGTTATTTGAATCCCTACTTGCCCACTCTCCTATATAAACGAAATATTCATTATATATATATTATATAGTGATTGTGGTTCTTATATAATCAGAAATGATTATTGAATAACGAAATCAGTTAGCTTCCTAACTATATTATTGAAGTAGAGCTGTTGAAATGTAGGTTGCACTATACCGTTTATTTGAACTATACTATGCATTGTAGATATGAAGTGTTTTCTTAACAATAATGTCTTTCCAAGAAACGTTTCACTTTATTCAATGATTCTTGCTAAGAATATGTTTCCAAAAATGTTCATTTGTTACAGCTTCTTTGAGCTATACTATTCTGTATATTCTTCCCATCTCAAACAAACACACTTTTTGAGAACAGCTGTTTATTGGGGTTTCTTAAAAATATTCGCTTATATAAAAATAAGTACTGAATATGAATAATATTGGTCGATTTTTCTTCTTCTGTTGACTCCTCAAAACATGATGAAGTTCTGTAAAATAAATGATCATGAAATATTTCTTTCTCATTGTCATATCACGGGAAAGAAACATAAATTAACAAGTTTGAAATTATGTTGAACTCATGGTGAATTTGACAAAACTAGTTTTCTCTTTTAAGACAATTTCATACTGCCCAATATTTGGGGGAAATACTCTGGAAGAAATACGTACCTCCGGATCTTTTTTGAAAATGCATTTGTGAGCATTCCATATTATGACATGTAATGGTCCTGTACCTGAAAAGTGAAAAATTGATTACAGCTTTCGTTTAAAAATATATACATCCAAAATATGAAATATTATTGAGAAAGAAGTTTATATTCCTCATATTTCCATGTTTAGAAACTGCCAGCTAGCCGCCCCGGATTCGCACGGGTGCAATGCTGATATTAAATATACATATAAGAGCATGCGATCACTGCTAACCATAAAGTGTTATCATAGGGCGCTATTTATAGGCAGGTGTCGCCAGCCGGTACCGCCGCAACCGCTATGTCCCTGCATTTTGAATCAATCTGTAATATCTTCAGAAATATGCTCCTGAATTACATGCTGTGACAGGCCATATTGCAATGTATGTCAGGTACTTAATTGGATGAGGATTAATACTGCAATGCTTGAAATCTAATGTGTAGTTCTGAAGATCTAAGCATACAAAGGGACAAACAGAGGGAAGTGACTTTGTTTTATATTATGTAGTGATACAAAAGATTGAGTCCAACTCACGAATTCAATATGAAAGTGATTTAATTAGAAAATCAACCAAGATATTCCTATTACTATATTTCTAACTTACTGCTAGCTTTGACTTCCTTGAAACAATCGCCATAAATTTGGGTTCCATTACTTTTGAGAACTTCTGGCATGTAAGTCTGCAATTCGTCGGGATCAATTTCATTATTGACAGACATCTGAAAGTTTCAATAATTCATTTACTATTATTGTGAAATATTTATTTACTTCAAATGAAGAGGATATCTATCTTCATTACCTACAAATAATCTTTGTGGTATTTGTAGTAAATGAAATAATAACCTGTCTTCTATTTCAAATTATTTCTCATTCGAGAAACCTAAATGAATATTGAAACCAGTACTCANAACATATGTATTGACAGAAGCAAGTGATTGCTTTTATGAAAAATACAAGATTTGGATTCTATGTTAAGCCATGCTGAATTTTCGATAATCCAGAAATTATTTATTATGAGTCAGAAATGCTCAGTTTTTCATAATCGAGAAATTAGTTTTTATAGGTTAATCATTTTCACCTTCGGAAAATCTATGTAAAAAGTGAATGCTAGTTGAATCGAGTTATTGTTTTTTTTTTAGATGATAAAATTTGTTTTTGTTGACCATTTTTTATTTATTAATCACTTTCAATTGTTGATCAGATCACTGAAGAATATTTTTTTGTGTTGAGGATTCATTCCTTGAGTTCATGATTGAATGCATTCTTATTTCCTATTGATTTCACTTGTGAAGGCGAATTATTATCTAACTTTGGGCCTAAATAGAATACAAATGTTAACGATGCAGGTGGGTTTGTAATTAAAAAACGCAGTTCTCAATATTTGTAATTGGAAGTAAAATTCATGATTCATTAACATTTCATTTGTTTACATTCTTGAAAATAACACTGATACTATCAGACATTTTGGAACCAACTTGAATCCAATCTGTTCACTGTTACAATAATAATGCGTTGATCAACATTTTTCATGTTCCACCATCTGAAAAATATAAAAACATATACACGTGTAGAGAGGGTAAACTTTTTAGTTCACCCTGATAAGTAACTGCGTGAATTCAAAGTATGTTTCATAAAAAAAATTTTCGTATTCGATTTTTTCCTACCAAAGAAACAGCTGAAAAATCGTACAGATTGTCATCTTAACGCAACTAAGGCTACAATGATTTTTGCAGGTTTTTCTATGCTTCGTTTCACTTTCAAAAACGTCCTTGATAGATGTCAAAGGAATTTCAAAATATGAAATACAAGTACTATAAAAAAATCGTTCAGGCACTCTAAAATATGTTGTGATAATTTCGATCTTGATAAATGTTCATTTATGATATGATTTCGATGTTTATTCTCACGCACTTTCAATGGCGCTTTCAATGAAGTTTTATCAATATGACTTTCACCATGAGAATAAAGTTATTTATGAATTGAATTTTCTGTTCTTTCTTCTGTGTTATTGGGTTATGTATGTATGGATATAGATCCCAGTAAATTTGTTGTTTTGTGACGAGCAATGAAAAGTATAACGCTAGCAATGGAAGGTGTATGTTTCTATGGATATTTGCATGCACAAATTCACAGAGAGGGCATTCACATATTCTGAGTATAACATCTCCACCAACGTGGGTGAATCTTCTTGTCTAACCCTCACTTCTCACTTAACGTTATTTGTATCTGTGGAGTAAGGAGGGTGAGGTAAGCCCACAGCCCTTATGCCACATGTGGCCCATTGTACATCTTCCCGAGGAGTTGTCCTCCTATGTCATCGTCCATCCTGTCCTTTCCAGGAAGGTAGACACGTCACTTGGAGACACCTTCTTCATATCGGCAGGTGTAGGCCAATACTCACCGAACACACACTCTCTTATTGACGATAACTCCGGGCACTCGCACACGACATGCCTGACAGTCTCATCTTTCTGTTCACGCATAGAGGTGTGTCCACAAGCCCCATATTATGGAGGTGTTCCCTTAGTTGACAGTAGCCAGTCAGAAATCCTACTGTTAAACGTAGATTTCTTCTGGTCATCGCCAGATATTTCTTCGGCGCCAGCTTTCCAGAGTCGCCCAGGGCGATCCTGGCAAGATTACATTTTCTGATTCCATCCCATCTCTTTAGGGATTGAGCACGGGTGTGCAGCGGTGTCCAGCCGCTTCCTTGGCCAAAGAGTTGACAATGCGATCACTTTCACTCCTGTTGTGTCTTTTAACCCACCTCAGGGTAATGTTATTATTTACCGAGGCTTTGGCTACAGTGGTGGCACTCTAGTACTAGCCCAGACGTAACACGTTGTCTGTTCAAGGCTAATAGAGCTTGTCTGCTGTCAGTGCAGATTGTTATGTTTTTGCCAGAACCTCCTTTCCTGGTTATTTCTTTTGTGGCGATTTAGATACCAGCCAGCTCTGTTTGGACAACGCTGGCATTTTTTTTCATTTCCCACTTGATCCGTAGGCTTAGTGATTTGAAGTACACTCCACATCCTCAGCCTTCTTTGGTTTTTGAGCCGTCTGTATTTATGCGTTATACTCTACATTTGTCTGTCTGCCTGACTGTGAAATGAATCGAATGAACAAAAAGGTTTTGCGTTATTCACTTCACGTTAATCAGTTTGACCGAATATTTATAAATTATCGCCGTATCGTCAGCAAAATTGAGAAATCGGCCTTTTGAATTGAAAAGTGGCAGGCTATTTATGTATAGCGTGAACAGTATAATTATTTATATCTGTTTCATTACTCAACTTATGTAATGGTTTGACGGAACCAATTTTTGGGGCCTTAGGAAAATGAGCTGACTCAAAACATGTATCAATAAAAAAAATCAAAGGACGAACAAGATCAGAATTTCAGGGGATTTTTTGACTACAAGACTATTAATAGTATCTAAAATTTCTTTGTCAAAACTACTGAACATGAATGTTGTGAATTTGATATGATTTTCTTTGAATTGTTAGAAATCGCCTACCTCTTCTTTTATGTATGCATATGTGACGGATAATCCAATAGATACCAATGCAAATATGATAATCCTGTTCATAATGGAGCTGAAAATGGAAAACAAAAATCAATTCATCTGAAAAGATTGTAAAAAGTGAAATACAAATATAAATTATGGGTGGACGTTTGTGAAGTGAATTAAATGGCAGTTAATATAAAATCACAGTTGTGTAGAGGTCTGTGATAGATTCATTCTGCCAAATAGTATTATTCACTCATTCTGAATGATTTTCAGCTTATTGATTTGAGATCACTGCTTTGACAATCATGTGAATTCTCCCCTTTGAAACTAGAATGAATTTGTGTATGCTCAAGTCAATATTATGGTTGATATATAATAGTGTTCCCAATATTGAGCCTTTGGGTACTCCAGGAGTTACAACTAGTTCACACGATATTGTTCCTGAAAACTTTCTGGCTGCAGTTTCATAAGTAGATATTCAAAGAAATAACGGAACATTCATTATCGAAACGAGGTAAAATCAGTCGTATCGGAGGTTTTTCGAAAATGAAGGTTTACAGATGCTTTGATATCTCCTTTATCAGTATTTTTTCAACACTATCAATCAAAGTAGTCTTCGTAAGTACCAAGTACATCTTAGAATGGACCGCTCCTCTCATGTATTCAGTGAATATTCATCAAACATTCAAAGTTACTTACTTGTAGAACATTGAGTTTGAAAAATATTTGTCGAGAATTATGACGTCACTTGAAATGGCGGATTTCAAAAGAGAACTGTTGTGTATATTCCATTTTACATTCTGATCATTGCATTCTGAGTTGATTGAAAAAAAAAACAACTGCATGTGTCCCATTCAACCTAAATATTCGTGGACTGAGTCTTCAGCCGATCCCGAAGATGGGAATCAACGGAAGAGGAGATGTCATTCCCCTCACTTTTAGGTTCGTCTCTCAAGGACGGTTGGGTGGTTCAGTTTAGCACCTCTGATGAGAGCTAGACGGATCGCGACTTTGTTGTATACTATGTAGTGGCAATGCGGCGGTATGTTCAGGTTTCTTATGACACCTATGTTAAATTTGCTGTCAGTATCAAAATGTTGATGGCACTCGTGTATGTATCTGTTCATGAATTGGTGAACTCTCAACTTTATGAAAAATAATGAAGTTGGGTTGAAACCTTTGCTTCATTACTTCGGGAGAACATGGATTGGGGTACTGTCTCGCAGTCGATTAAAAGCAGAGTATCCGTTTGAATTATGGAACTGTTTTTCGGCTTCTTGGATAGTCTAATGCGGAAGAATAATGGATTGGACGGTTGCCATAATGCCTCCAATGGAAAAATCCGTGTTTATCAAACTTCGGTCATACTCGATCATACTCGAAATGAGAAAAAGGCATATCTTAATCAGGTTATAAGTGGTAACCGTAATAGTAAATGTTTGTGGAATCTACTTAAAAATCTTAACATATATTCTCGTGAAAAAATAACTTGCCAGAAAGACTTAATGATCCTATTAAAATCAATAAATGTTTTTTGAGTAATTCCGACCAACATTTTGTACCTAGTAATGAGTTATTGAATTATTATAACAGTAATTCAAAAAATAATATGTCTACTGACAAATTTCGCTTTGAGCCGGTAACAGAAAATATTGTTTACAAATGTATTTTAGAAATAAAACGAGAGCCATAGGTTCAGATGAAATTAATATAGATATGCAACTTCTTTGCTGTCCTATAATGCTACCATATCTCACTAATATAATAAATTCATGTTTGCAAAATGATATATTTCCTGAAATGTGGAAGATTTCTAAAATACTGGCTCTTCCTAAAATATCTAATCTGAATACTCTCAACAATCTGCGCCCTATTAGTCTGCTACCTACTTGTTCAAAAGTATTGGAAAAAATAATGAGTTTTCAAATCAAATGCTTTTCAAATTCCTTCAATATTTTACCAGTCAACCAGTCGGGATTTCGTAAAGAACACAGCTGTACAACTGCTCTCTTGAAAATCACTGATGATATTTTCGAAGCTGCAGACAAAGGTAACACGACTGCTTTGATACTTATAGACGTCTCCAAAGCTTTTGATACTATTAGTTATCCAATTTTATATGCAATTTTGAACTTCATCGAGTTCTCTGAACCTGCTATGAATTCAATTCAAAGCTATGTTAAAGATCGTTCACAGTTTGTAGAAACTTCGAAGGGAAAATCAAGCAGTGAATTTATTAAATTTGGAGTGCCTCAGGGATCCATATTCCGCCGCCCCATCGAACCACTCTATATAGACGATCCTTCAGTTATAATATATATAGTTTGTACAATAATATTCCACAAAAATATAAAGTTACTGAAGTTTCTTCATTCGAATGCTGTTACAAAAAATAACTCATCGCTGCTCAATCATAAAGCCATTAATTTCATTGATTTCATAGATTTTATACTTCTGAAAAATTCTCAGTAATAAATTTAACATGTTTTCTCCCTCTCTTCCCTCTCTCTCCTCTCTCTTTTTTTCCCTTCTTTTTTTTTTGTTTTTTCTCTCGTTTAGTTTTCTTCAAGGCTAGAACTAAGATCAACAGTACATTTCCGGTACATGTTGTTTCTAGCCTTATTTGTAGTTTTTTTTATCATTTTCATATATTCTATATTTATTGTATTTATATGGAACTACAAATGAATATTATTATCATTATTATCATTATTATTTTTCATCGTAGTGTGCGCTTGTCAGGCCCTATCCCCCGAATCCTCGATACATTCGGGAGGGCGCGCCGGCATTATCAACCAATGACCACTCCCCACACCGTGAGGTAAGTGATCATTGGGTCCGAGAATCATGTGCCCCGAGCAAGCGCAGTGATCCAAGAATGACAGCCTTCTGCATCTGTGCGGCTAAGAGTTCTGCCTCATACACAGTGCGGCAAGCCGGTATGATTTTAAGATACGAGAGTAGAGAAGAAATAATTCCACCAAGGACTCCAATAATCAGAACAACCATCTTGACAGAGTGATCTGGATAGAGTCTGCGGAGTTCGGAGAGAAAATCTCGATATTTTATCCGTTTTTCCTCCTATTTCCTGACGATATTCATCTCGCCAGTTTGACGTTAATGTCAATCCACTGAAGAATTGACATCGACACCAAGGAGGTAACTGATCTGTTTGCTGCAAAGAAAGTAAGAAAAGTAGATTTGATTTTGTAAAAAGATGTTGATATTTTTGTAATGGTTTTCTAATAAATATATATGATCGTGTAACACCATTTTATTTCTTTTGTTATTTTTATGTTTCACGTTTTTTTACTATTCCACCAAACCAAACCCCCCCCCCAAATTGTTTTCTGTCTACAGCCTTGACTGTGCCAGGACTGGATATATTTATTTTGAATATATGGTAATCAGGCTTGGAGGGTAAGAATTGGATTCTCTGGCGTGAAATGAATATATCAAGTAAATTATTATTTCTTCATTACGGCTCTAATAATCGTTGATATGAAAGAAATATATTCATTTATGTACCACAACCGATTCCAAAAGTACAAGATAATGCTTTTGGTTTCTTGGGGTATGACCATGAAAACTCTTTTCCAGTAGTTTTCCACGGAAGAGCTCATGAAATTGGTTGAGAAGAGAAGAAACTTTAGAAGTAGGCCAAGAACCAACGTGTTCTTGGAACACGCACAAAGTACCTATCTATCAATTCATGAGTTACTTTGAATTTTAGCGAAACATTCGAAGACAGATTCAGAGTCGAATTGAATGTTACTATAGAAATTTCTCTGCGCAGACATGACTAATTACACAGCAGGTCATATACGTAACCCACTGTAGACACCTATCAATTGGCAAGTAGAAGGGACACAATGGTTTAAAACTGTCAACAATGTCACCAAATTCCTCTGTTAGTGAAGAGACATATATTGCCTTCTATGAACTGAAGGAAACTCCATTTTTTTAAACTTTGCATTTTCAAAGATGAGGAAAGAAAGGAAATATCACCGAATATGAGGTTAGGCGTCTTAGAAAAAAATAATTTGGAATAATATCTCACCCTCGAGACACAAGCCTGTTGAACACCACATTAACTACTGAAGTGAAGAATTGTGTAATGCATGCAAAATTTCCGGATTGCTTTTTCGTATTATCGTGATGAGGTCGAACTATATCAAAAAATAGCATCAGCTGAGGTCGCGATAATTGGATCGGTGATTACATCAATTAATGTTTTTATTTTTTCAAGACAGCGTGACAATTTGATACTCTTCTGAATTGTGTCACATCACGAAAATATAAGATTGCGTGAAATATAAAGTTCTGACGCGAAGAAAAAATACTGTGCCCTGATTAATTTTTTTGATGATAAAATTGGTCGCGATGATTGATATAGCCTTCGGAAACTTCAAGTATAGTGAATCAATCGTACCAATGAATGGCAGAAACATATTACGGGAAAAATGATCAAACACAAAGTTCATTGAGTCGAATAAATGAAAGTATGAAAGAAATGAATCAGTAAAATACCAGAGTATATCTGGATAAATCTTTGGCATGCATTTTCAGAGTCGTTTTCTGAATTCAGAGTGATGAAAACATTTCAATTGAATTATTTCTGAATATTCATTCTACTTGAATTACAGGCTCTTCAATTATGACTTTTTTTTCTGATGAAGATCCATAGTAATTTATATATCACTTGAAGAAGGTACTGTGCTAGTGAAACATGTTGTGATATATTTTTCAAATGAAGTTTGTGGAAATCAAATCGTGAGGTGTAGTTTTTGAAATCAAAACAAATGCCTTCGCAAAATCCATTTGTAAATGCTCGTTTCTATTTCTAGCTGCATTTCATTTGTTCTGACTTCAATTGTCTAATATGATATGAATTGATTTGAAATCCCTGAACGAATATGTGAAAAAATAAAAATTGAAAAAGAGATTATCTGGAAAATAACATTTATATTAAGCAAAGAAACTGAAATTATAATGATGTCTCATACCTCTTCCTTGAGATTATTGTCATCGATTCGATGTCTTCCGATTCATTATCGATTCAAACAAAAAATAATTTCGTCTATAGGTTCAACAATATCATTCAAAATCATTGCAGATGTTTATTATGGAAGAGGGACAGAATAAACAAATTTTTCTCACCTGCTTCCACCAAAGTATCAGTTTTCAATTCACACTTCAGACTGAAAACAACGCAACCTCTTGTCATTTATATATACTCGATTCATGTTGCAAATCCCCTAGATTTTTAAAAACAAGTTTAAAGAGTTCATAACCTACGCAAATGAAGGTTTTGTTTTTCTTTTAGTGCAGATCGTAAACGGGACCCTATCTTCAGAGTTGTTTAACATCCTTGACAAAATTAAAAAAATACACTTCGCGTCTACAGAGTGTATCCTTTGAGTATAACATTTTGTCCGAAAATCAATTTGATTTTCGAGAGGGAAAATCAACGGAAGATGCTAGTTACAAATTTTTGAACATCAATTCACGCTTCCCTAGATAAATCAGTGCCAAAAATAAGTATCTTTCTTGACCTCTCGAAAGCCTTCGATACAGTTAGTCACCAAAAGTTACTGAATAATTTGAATTATTATGGGATTAGAGATAACGCCTATAATGTGTTGAAAGATCATCCCTCAGAACGAACGCAATAGGTGCGAACTGATGAGGTATGTAGCAGTCCTAGAAAAATTACTTATGGTGTTCCGCAAGGGTCTGTTCTGGGACCAGTACCTGGGAACTCATTAATCCTTAGCTCGCATAAGTTTCAACTTCTGAGGGTTATCGTTCGTAGGGGTGCGACAGCTGGTTAAAGGAAAAACAGAATTTTTTCAGATTTTAGTACTCATAATTAGTTTATTCAACATAGATAGTTCGGCGAAAATCATAAGTTTTGCAGATGATGATATTGGTACTTAGGCTTTATACTTTGGTACTATTGGTACTTATAAAGCAAACACTTGGAATGAACTTCAGTAAAATATTGAGAATAATTTTCTTGAAATAGCTGAATGGCTTTAGTACAATAAACCTACACTCAACTTCAATAAGAGCTGTTATCTATCATTCTGTTCCTATTCATCAGAATTGCCACATTTGGGAGATATTGATGTTGGTCTAGATTCAAAAATTTCCAACCCATACAATATCTTGGTATCATGATAGATCGGCATTCCAGCTAGGACCTTCAAATGAAGCATCTGTCGAACAAAATACGAGAAATACTTCCAAAAGTCAAATATTTGAAAGCATTTTGAGATCCTAAACACCTCAAAACAATTTATTTCGCAGAAATGAATTTTGAAAATTATTTTTGAAAAAAATATCAGTTATTCTTCCGAAAGTCTGTATAAAGAAACTCAAATAATGGATGCTGGTCAACTTTTCTGTCAAAAATTCTTGGATTTTTAAAAAACGGAAAAATAATACTGGAGTATCATGATCATACTCACAATACGAAAAGACATGATGGAATGTTTTTTCCTCGAAGTGAAAAAACAAGTGGCCAAAAGAATAGCTGAAGTTATGGATAATGGAAAATGAGTGTATATTTTTTTATAATTTATTGAAATGAAACAAACCAAAAGTAACAATATACCGAATATGACCCAAACACATGATTGTGACAATTTACCGAATATGACAATATACTTATACTTACCAGCTATGATGCCAAACACACTATTGTGACAGAGTGTATTTATAGTGTTTTGAATATCACGCACAAGCAGCCTAATGACTGCACTTGTTTATTTACAAATCAATTTTATTATATACATATTTTCATTATATACCTACCTATTTATATGCTGTATCTATATGTTGTGTATTACTGTGTATTTGTGAAATTTATTTTGTAAACATTCGTGAATAACCTTTTTATTATTATTATTATCATAAGAGTATCAGTCGCCTATTTCAAACATATTCCTTTATATCTCTTTGTTCGCACATAATTTACATTTCCATCCATCCATATTCCATCTAGTTGGTGCTACTGTGACGTCAAACATTTTTTGGGGAGGAAGTCATGATTGACTATACCACAGTCGGAATTTTTAGATTGAAAAACCATGACTATGAGAAGGAGTTGGCAGATATCCCTGAATTTTCAACATCAGTAATAAAAGAACGACAAAGTGGAATACGGAAATATCACAAACAACAAAAGAAAGCAATAAAACAAAACTGGAGTATATTGTTTGATATCTGAAGCAGCATCTTTTTTCGAAGGTATATATCTCGCTCAGGACTCAGAGTCAATGTGATTGAAAACAAACTACATCCTCTTCAGATATCCAGTGGTGTCTCTCAAGGATCGAAATTGGGACCGTTACTATTCTTCCTTTATACATTGCATTTTTAGAATACGTCACGCCATTGTAAGGTACAGTTTTGGTCTGATAATACCCAGTTGCATGCAGAATCAGATGCTAGAAATTCAATACGCATATATGCAGGAGGCTCAAAAACAAAAGAAGGCTCAGGATGTGGAGTTTAATCCAGATCACTAAGCCCAAGGATTGAGTGGAAAATGGGAAAAAATACTAACGTGGTTCGAACAGAACTGGCTGGTATCTCAATCGTCACAAAAGAAATTATCAGAAAAGAAATTTCTGGCAAAAACATAACACTGCACTGCACTGACAGTAGACAACTCCTTTAAGTCTTGAACAGACAATGTGTTACCCCAGGGCTAGTACTAGTGTGCTACCAAGATTTAGTCAAAGCCTCGGTAAATAATAACATTATCGTGAGGTAGGTTGAAGGGCACGACAGGAGTAAAGGGTAATGCATTGCGGACTCTTTAGTCCAGAAAGCGGCTGGACTAAGAATTTCAGGACCTAGTGACACCTACGGCCTAATAACTCCGACAATTGCAGAGCTTGCCAAACGTCACACCCATGCTCAATCCCCAAAGAGATGAGATGAAATCAAAGGATGCATTCTTTCCAGGATCACCCTGGGCTGGCGCCAAGAAAATATCTGGCGATTACCAGGAAAAATCTATGCTTGACAGTACGATTTCTGACTGGACACTGTCAACTAAGGAAACACCTCCATAATATGGGGCTAGTGGACACACCTCAATGCAGGATGTATGAAGTGTGAACAGGAAGATGAAACTGTTAGGCATGTCTCATGCGAGCAATACGAGGAGAACGTTCGGTATTGTGGAAAAACGATTCATGGCTTTTGCATCATGAAAATGCACCTGCTCACTGGTCATTGCTTGTTCGTAATTTCTCGGCCAAAGACACCACCTTAACCCTCCTGTACTCGGGTAGTGTTTGTGAGATAAATCAGTTCTAATTTTCATTGCTAAATCTACAGTTCGTGTGGCTTCGGGATTTTTAAACATTGGCACGTGGCTTAAATGGTTAGTTTGAGTCAGATCGTGACAGACATAGACACTACCCGAATATTCGCGTAACCAAATTCTCTGATGAGAGATTTGTCATTTTTGCTGTTTTCATTCCACTTGGTGATATTAAAAAATCATGGACCCGTATTTGGAAGAAATTCAAAGACTACAAACATTATATGAATAAGTTTCAACTGATGATGAGGTTCAATATGAGGATGGCGAGCCAGAATCAGATGTGGACCGTTGTGAATTGAGTGATCACGATTCCAGATGAAGAGCTTGAACATGAAATAGTGAATAAACAATCTACAAGCGGGGGTAACACAAATTTATTCAATGAATGAACGTAAAAAAGAAAATCATACAGAAGTAATGAGGTAGTCTAAACACGCACCTATGACTTGTGTTAGAAATAGACGTCAGCGAAACGTCAGGAAAAAATTTCAAAAATCCACGGCTTTCAAACTCGAAAAGCAATGACACTGGAAACATTCAAATCATTTTATGTTCATACAGAGCCAGATATTGAAACTTTTTACATGAAAACACAATTCTGGTCATCGGTCATTCATCTGGTCATTCGGCGCCAGCTTTCCAGAATCGCCCAGAGTGATCCTGGCAAGATTGCATTTTCTGATTCCATCTCATCTCTTTAGGGATTGAGCACAGGTGTAACACTTGGCTAGTTCCGCAATTGTCGAAGTCATCAGGCCGTAGGTGCCACTAGGTCCTTAAATTCTTAATCCAGCCTCTTCCTTGGCTGAAGAGTCGACAATGCGATTACCTTCACTTCTGTTGTGCCTTTTAACCCACCTCAGGATAATGTTATTATTCACCGAGGCTTTGGCTAAATCTTGGTGGCACTCTAGTACTAGCCCAGACGTGACACTTTATCTGTTCAAGGCTAACGGGGCTTGTATGCTGTCCGTGCAGATTGTTATGTTTTTGCCAGAACCTCATTTCCTGGTTATTTCTTTTGTGGCGATTTAGATACCAGCCAGCTCTGTTTGGACAACGGTGGCATTTTTTTCATTCCCCACTTGATCTGTAGGCTTAGTGATTTGAAGTGCATTCCACATCCTCAGCCTTCTTAGGTTTTTGAGCCGTCTGTATTTTTGCGTTATTCACTTCACGTTAATCAGTTTGACCGAATAGAAGAAGAATACTTTACATTTGTATGTCTGCCTGACTGTGAAATGAATCGAATGAACAAAAAGGTTAATATGAAATCTGAATAACTGTCAGAATGTTGGCTATGTTTTAAATACTACTGCTCCAGACTGCTCAGAGAAATCCTAAATCTGTGAAAATGAAAAATAGAAATTCAAACAATTGATAAGTAACAATCTGTGAGTTAAAATCCACCAAAATGGTTTTTTGTGTTCAGATTGACTCGCAGACAGTATAAAAAGGGAAGGTTGGAACATGGAATATTACAGCTTCTACATATGTATGAAATGAAGTGAAAAAAACACAAAAAACATTAGTAGACAAAACTTTTGAATGGACATTTACTGATTTGTGTGTGAATTATTTGATTATTGAAAGGCGTTTTCTCAGTGTGAGGGTATAATAATAATTATTGATCAACTATTATACCCTCAATTCTATATGTTGAGTGATTATTTCAATGTGTATCTGCATGAGTGTCATTGAGAAATCACTTTGTGGACTAGTTTCACGAAACATATGAAATTACCGGTATTGAGATGATAATTTTTTCTCACTTGGTTCGTACAAATTCCAGATTTTCCCAGAAAAGCATCAATTGAAGTTCAGGAAGTGAATTTATATAATTTGAGAATAATTTCTTCATTATTTCTGTATGACTCAATTCTCAGCTCAGACACCTTATAGGCCACTCCTCAGTGTGTAGGTTAGGTTCAA